AGTTAGTATAATTAACTAATTTAATAAGTGCATAATCTATGCTCATAGACCAGCAAGGCTTGAAAATTTTGTAAAACGGTATAGTTGAATGTATAGCGTAGTTTATAAACAAGAGAATCGATTTGATCCCAAAATAATAAATAAATTAAATAAAATGCAAGACTTAGCATTGAAATCAAGATAAAATAGTTGACGGCTTGGTTCCAGGAGAAAGGCTTCTGGAGGCGGCAATAGGAATAATGTTAGACAGAAGATAAAGTATTATTCAGCTTCGAATAATGTGTACCATAAGTTTGTTAGAATTTTTGTGTCTTACAATTGTTGTTGAAGCCACTATTTATAGCTATACCTAAGGAACAAGGTCCTAGGATCAAGCCCATCTTAAATGACAATAATGGGGGTCATTGATGAATATGTAATGGCAGGCCATGAATGCCAAAATTCTCTGCAATGGCTATATTATTTAACACTGAGGAACATTATTTATTAAATGTCATCTGGTGAAAAACATCCATTTGCTTCCGTTGCTTGTGTTCCGTTCGGGATCTTCCTGGTGCCAGCTGAAGTTGTTGTCCACGGACCCGGTTTCTACTCGCTTCATCTTCTATCTGCCTATGATTCCACGTGTCACGCTATCATAAAAACATTTAACATAAATCGATTTTACCCTATACAGATAGTCCCCCTGCTTTCCGGTGGCACATCTTTGTGTAACCGGGAAATTGGCAAAGATTTCTTTCTTGGCGGGAAATTTTCTGAACCCTTCTGAAATGTTTCTAATGCTTGATAAGACGCACGTCTCCTCAAATTTTTAATACTCTGAACACTTGTTACTCCACGATTTCGCAATATTTTTGCTTGTTCTTGAGGTAATCATGGCCATGATTTTAGCTGCCTATTCCTTTACTTATACACCTCATTCTTCTTCTTTTACACTTAACAGTTTCATAGACTCTCTCAACTTCTTTGCATTCAAGTCTTTTTTGCTTTCATCTATGTTTAACCGTATTCAAAAAACTCTTATCACCTTCTGCTGATTATGGATTCATTCATTAATTCTTCCAATAACTCCGATTTTCTCTTTGGTGGGGGCCCAAAGAGCAGCAAAGACAAAGAGGTCGATGTTGACGCCGACCCTCCTATGGTGAGCACCATCATCCCTAAACATCTCAACACAGCCAAGGACTTCGAAAAGAAGTTACCTACTTCAAACCCTCGTACTTGGGCTATTAGCAAATCCCCTTCTTCAATTCACCCTTCCAGCATTCCTGTTGTGCAGGAGGACTGTGATTTCCATGACCTAAACATTATTGCTCCTGATTTGGTGGGGCGAGTGACCTTCACTGAGAATGGTTTTACGTATGTGTACATGTATCCCTTCACTTTGGGTCTATTTTCTTTGAGAGGAGGACTTGACCGTGTGATTTTGGAGATGTGCCACCAATACCAGGTTTATTTGGCACAGGTGAGCCCTTCGGTGTGGCGAACAGTGTCCTGTCTGCGGCGGTTGTGCCAGGAAACGAAGGAAGACCTCACCTTGGCCCATATGATGAATCTCTACTCCCCCAAGTTTTTCTGTGGGGGGGGGCGGTAATAAATTTAAGCAAACGTAGCCATCATGCTTCACTCACCAGCAAGAATTACGATAATGACCGTGGTTGGATGGGGGGTTTTTTCGTCATTGCCATCAGGGACATCATTCCGACTACAACTCTACCTTTTCATGAATCCTGGACACGTCCATGTAAGTTTACAACTTATCTTTCTCTCCGAAGATATAGGCTATCCACATCATTGTTAACCTTCTTTCATTCATTATTTCAGCAACTCGGTGGTCACCTCCAAGGGTCAAAGGCGTGGATCGGTAGGTTCAGAAAAGTCTGGACATCACTATGCCCGAAACCCGTCGGTAGAAGGAATTGGCCCCCAAATATGGATGGAGGGCTAAGAACCATGATAAACTGACTCGTAAAACTGACTCTTCCTTCATTTAATCTTTGAACATAAGAAAACTAGTTAACCCTACCTTTTTGTTTGATTCAGGCCTCCCTCAGGGTTCCATCTATGTCCCTAAGGAGGATGTTTTGGTTGATCCCGCGGAGGCTGCGAGGTTGTTGCAAGAGGCTCTCACCCGAACAAGTACCCTCGGGCCTTATTATGGTGCAAGTGCTTTCTCTCGGAGTCCATGGCCAGAGAATAAGCAACCAAAAAGGCGGCTCTCTTCCTCGGCCAGGGCTAAAAATAAGAAAGTGAAGAAAGTGGCGCCTCAGCCAGCCACAGCTACGATGATCTTCATCCGCTTAACAGAATGCTCAGTTAGAGGATCTTAGAATCCCAACCGAGGACGATGCCTGAGCGCTTTGGGAGAATTTTACTTAGTAGAGAATGTTAATTCTCCTTTTTCAATCCTAATCACTGGTCCCGGTAATATGAGGCTGAGTACTGGGCCACTTTCACCTTCAGTTGGTGAGAAACCAACAAACAGCACTACCTTTGTCGTAGATGCTTCTCAACCTGCAACACTATCAGCTTCATCTCCTCCCACGCTGGCTATATCATCATCACCAGCAACTGCTACATCACCCCCACCGGCTATAGACACCCGAGAGCAAGATGTCCTTCCTCCCCAGTCCCCAGACCAAGGGAATTTGGGCCACAACTACTCGCCCCCTTCTGCAGATCCATAGGGGAGGTAGAATGTCTATCTCTCATCGTTAACAGAGTTCTATATGCTATCCAGGCCGGTGGAACTCACCAATTTTCTTAAGCCACTAGCTTCATAGAAAGATGAGAAGAAAATACACTCTCTTTCGAGGGAGTATATGATAAATAACACCATGCACAACGCATCAGCGGTATTGTACCTGTCTTTTTTTGCAACTTACTTCTTCTTGGCTTGTTATGACAGGGTTTCTAACTTTGATATTTGCTTTACAGGCCAACTTCCTTGATTTCAAGGGCCTTATGAAATTGATCCTTGACAAAGAAGGACTCAAGTTCAAGTGGGAATAGCCGAGAGGGACCAAATTGCGGCTCGTCTCCTGGTGCTTGAAGCAAAAGCTGTTGAGGCAAATGATTTAGAGGCTCTGTTGTAACAAAGTGAGCAGGAAGTGATGGCCCTTAGTTAAGAATCCTCTCAGCTAAATGCACAGTTTCAAGAAGCTAAGGCTCAATGGGTTGAGGTCCAAGATGTCATGCTCGCTACTGCCGAGCGTGAATCTGCCTCCATTGAGAGAGTGAATAACTTGGAGGCAACATTGAACTCCAAATATGAAAAGGTTGTTGTTGCTGAAGAGAAGTTTTCCTAGATGGCGGATAGGTATAAGAGGATCATGGAACAACAAAGGGTTCTTATAACCAGTATCAGTGATCTTGATCTTAGCGTTAGCGCCATGAGGTCCGAGCGGAATGGCCTTCAGACTAGGGTTGAAAGGATTAAATCAGAACTTCAGCACTGAGCAGATTCCCTCATCATAGAAAAAACACATTCTATGTATAATTTGAGGGGGAAAACCTTGGAAGATCCCAAAGCGAGCGTCATTGATATTGACGATGAAATCTCCAAGTCCCGAGAGCTGGAGTTAACTTCTCAAGGATGCCTCCCGGATCAGCCTGATGAAACTGACTCTTCTGTTCCTGGTTCCGAGTTCTTGAGAACGGAGGAGAAACTTGAAGAAAATAACGATGAAGGCACATCCGCCTATTTCTCCCAAGGGCACAAATGCTTCTCTTCCCCAGAGTTCTCGTGTTAGCTTTTTGCTCTCTTTTCCTTTGTTGCTTTCCTTTTGTATTTCAATACTTGTGCTTCTTGGCATGTTTAATAAATAAAAGTGCTTTTCGTTCAAGCATTGCAAAAAATTTATTCTTTTTCCATCAGATAAGGCAAGGCTTCGGGTGCATTTTTCCCCGATAGCATTTGGGATTCGAGCATAAACTCTTTCAGAACCAACCCTTTACTGTGAGGGTTTCATAAGAGATAGCCCTCTTATGTTTATGGTGCTCTTGAAGAGGAGGTCTCCTGTTCATTCTGACACTAGCATTTGAAGTACTTGGTTAACTTTCAAATGATGAAATCAATTCATTGTCTGGACATGAAAAAAGATTTTAAAAAAAGGACATTATTTTATTCCTTCTATCAAAAGTACATAAGCATTCGTTTTTCTGAAAGAAAAGAGATTGCCATTACATGTGGCTAATTTGTACAACTTATTTCTATGGTGCTAGTTGTGCAGTTCCCTGGTTCTGATGCGACATTTTGTTCCCGGATTTCGTAGTCCCTATTTTTGTGGCAATTAGGCTGTCGTATTCTCATATTATTCCCTCCTCCCTTGTGTTCGAATGCAAAGAATGTGAATTGAAACATTGGAAGTCTTCCTCCTTTGAGGATTTCACTAGTGAATGGTTGGATAATCTTTTGTTCGATAGCAAGCTTCGTTTCCCGATAGGAACTTTGCTATTGAGCAAAGGATTATCTAACCACCCCCTAGTGGCTTATAGGAAAGAGCACTCATGCACGGTTGAATAGCCTTTGGTTTGATGGCAAGTTTTGCTTCCCGTTAGGAGTTTTCCATCGAGCCAAAGACTATCTAACCATCCCGCAGTGGTTTGTTATTTCCATGCCTTGTAATTTTAAAGGTCTTATCTGTGCTGATGACGTTTTCTTCGTAGTACACTTTCTGTTGTTGTCTCATTAAAAACCTTGCTAGAAAAACCCAATTGGGACAAAAACTGGACGAAGGGAAAAATAGTGCAGCACATACTTTCAGTACAAGAGGTGCTCATCGACAATAATACCTTTTGAGGTGATTCACATTTCAGTTGCTTGGAAATTTGGCTTCGTCTTGGTGTTCTAGTTCATATGATCCTTTCCCGTTGACAGTTGAAACTCGGTAGGGGCCTTCTCACGTTGGACCCAACTTTCCTGCGTTGAGCTCCCGGGTGATTTGAGTCACTTTTCTCAAAGCCAAGTCTCCCACTTTGAAATAATGGATATTGTCCCTTCAGTTATAGTACCTTTTTATTCTTTGTTTCTGGTCCACCATCCTTATGTATGCCAAGTCCCTGCATTCATCAAGCAACTCCAATTTGTCCAGCAATGCTTCATTGTTTGTTTCTTCATCCTTCGGGAAGTATCGCAAGGTCAATTCGCCTACTTCTACTGGGATCAGAGCTTCTGCATCGTATACGAGAGAGAAAGGTTTATCTCTCGTGCTCGACTTGGTCGTCGTTCGGTATGCCCAAAACACTCCTAGTAACTCATCGGGCCACTTGCCCTTGGCTGCTTCTAACCTTTTTTGAGGATTTGAATAATAATCTTATTGGTTGATTCTGCTTGCTCATTTGTGCCTGGATGGTATGGCGAAGATGTGATTCTTTTAATTTTCAAGTCTTCAAGGATTTTTGTGACCTTTGAGACTATGAACTGTGGCCCATTGTCGCAGGAAATCTCCTTTGGTATTCCAAAATGACAAATTATGTTTTCCCATAGAAAATTGACCACTTTGCCCTCGCCGATTTTCTAGTAAGGACCTGCTTCAAACAACTTTGTGAAGTAATCTGTTAAAATAAAAAGAAATCTTACCTTCCTGGGAGCCGGTGGCAGCGGCCCGACTATATCCATCCCCCATTTCATGAATGGCCATGAGGATAATACTGAATGCAGCAGTTCTACCGGTTGGTGCACTAACGGCACATGGTGTTGACACTTGTCGCATTTCTGAATGATTGCCTTAATGTCTTGCTCCATCCGGGGCCAGTAGTATCCTGCTCGATATAATTTTAACACCAACGAATCTGCACCTGAATGATTTCCACAAATTCCTTCGTGAACCTCTCTCATGACGTAACTAGCCTCGGAGGCTCCTATGCATTGGGCAAACGGGCCTTTGAACGACCTTTTGTATAACTGTCCTTCAAAAGCTGTAACGAGCTGCTTTGGTGCGGTGTGCCCATGATGCCTTCGGGTCTTCGGCCACCTTTCCGTGCTCAAGGTAGTCGATGATCTCATTCCTATAGTCCGTGGCCAGGTTGTTTGTATTTACTTCATAATAACCGTCCACATCTAGTACCGAGTGCATGAGCTATACGACTGTACCAGAATCTGATCCCTTCTTTTCCGTGGACGAGCCCAAATGGGTCAATGCATCTGTTGACGGCCAATTTTGACCCTGCCTTTTAAAATTAATTTATTTATACTTAATAATTTACAATAAATATTTTTAAAGTGTATTCTAGTAACAAATACCTATTTTTTTTACAAATTAATTAAGTATTAGTTTTTAAAATTGATCGCGTAGTATTCACATTTTATAATTACAAATATATTTACAATTTTAAGATTGTTAAAATAATTCTTATATATACACTAAATAGGTTCTATAATTAATTTAATGAGTTGCTCTTTGACTTCTAGTTAATTAGACTACTATGTTAAAAATCCGAAAATAGTGTTGCAATTTAGAAAAACAAAGTATTTTTCAAATAATCAATTAAAATAATTAGTAGTATATATAGCAATTATAATTTTTACCACATTTATTGAAAATTATTAAGTATATTTAAATTAAGTTCAAAAAAGGATTAAAAGACAAAAGGGCTACAATTGAAATTCTCAATCAAATATAAAATGGCCATTTCTTAAATTTATTTTAGCCCAATTAGCAGGCCCAATCCGAAATATACCAGGTCAAAATGCTCCTCTCTTTCCACTGTGGATATCCGTGCCATCTCTTGTGCACCAATCACCAGAGATCTAATCTCAACCATCCGATCAAAGTAATCCAATGGCTATCGATTTTTCTCACTTAAATCGTTTTCGAATTTCCAATTACCAAACTAATCAGAGCCGTTGATCAACAGATCCAACAGCTCTCGTTCCATCTCTCGTCTTTCATCCTAGAGACGGACACTATTCACCCAAACCCTAATCATTTCCTCTTTGACGCAAGGTCACTTGAACCAACTGTAAATCATCTCTTCTGTCTCTGCTACACCACGAATCACGCATATAATTTCCTTTTTCATCACACAGGTTCAAGGCCCATAATCCGAAACTCTACGCTCAAAAGAGAAATCATCTTATTTGCTCTCATAAATCAAAGATCGAGCCTCAAACCACCCTTTGCCTTCTGAAATCGGCGAATCCAGGCGGCTATTTCCTATTTTATCATTCAAATTCAAAACACCCAAATCCTGAAACCCTAGACTCAATAATGTAACTTCAAATCTATGATTTTTCTTCGTGTTCTGTCAAATCGAAGCATGCATGGAGTCGTCTCAGAATTCATCATGAGGATTCGATGTCTAGAGGTCAAACTCAGTGACCTCTGGACATTAGGGTTTTAGTGTCACGACCCAAAATCCATTAAAGGTCGTGATGGCACCGGACACCACTGTTAGGCAAGCCAACACTAAATAGTTAATTAAATTCTCATTTTAATATTTTTGAAATCGTAAATTTACTTCAATTTATCTAGTAAAAGATGAATTTACAGAATAAATATAATGTTTTCTAATTTCAATGCTGAACATCCCATAATTATCCCAGAATCCGGTGTCACAAGTGCATAAGCCTTTTCTAGGAATTTAAAATAAAATACAATAACTGTCCGGAATACAAATTTGGACAGGAAATAAAATACAATACTCTGAAGGAGACTCTGCTGGTTGCGGGTCGTACATAAGATGCAGCTCACCTAAGTCCCCGTAATAACCGCGCCTCTGTGCCCACAAGGCCACTAGTCATATATGTACCTGCACAAAACGTGCAGCAAGGGTACTATGAGTACTTAAATCAACGCGTACCCAGTAAGTATCCCGCCTAACTCTGAAGAAGTAGTGACGAGGGGTCGACTTCGACACTTACTATGGGCGATAAATAGGATATCAATGATACAATTAAGTATGGATTATATGAACGGTTGCAAGCTCAATATTTTGAAGTAAGTAAGCAGTTCTTTTATAATTAAGAAATCTTCGAATTTATCTCCCATTATTTAACAATTTAAATCAGGCCGAGAAGGCAATATCATTATTTATAAATTTCAAGGCAAGCAATACAAGCATGCGCAAATCATGCCGAGGTCGTACGGCCCGACCCAACAAATATTTAAACTGTGCACTGCCAGAGCGTCGAATGGCGCAAACAATAGATGCATCTATTTACTACCGAGGCGCTCGGCCCGATCCACAAATAACAATTATTTTCAAGAAACTACAAGTTTCTCATTTACAGTCAAGTATCTCATACAAACCTTCAAGTAAGTGAATTTAACCTTATACAATTCTTTTATCAATTTCTATCATGACTAAGTGATTATATTAGCAAGTAAGGGCACAAACATTCCAAGTATAGCATGATACGGGTCCTAAACTACTGGGACAATAGCATAATAGTAGCTACGTACGGACTCTCGTCACCTCGTATGTACGTAACCCCCACAATTAGGTACAGACATTTATCTAATCCACCTATGGGGTTAATTCCCTCTTACAAGGTTAGAAAGGAGACTTACCTCGCTCCGAAGTTCCATAACCGACTTCTGAGCCCTTCAAACAACTTGAATCGATGCACAACACTCCAAAAGTAGCCAATGATTATGCAAACCCATTAATATATACTTAAATACTCAATATAATCCAATTTATAACAATTTCTAACCCAGATCAAAATGTCGATTAAAATCACCCTCGGGCCCACGTGCCCGGATTCCAAAAGTTTTCGAAGATAGACTTTACCCAGAACCTCACTAAATCAAATATATAGTTTATTCTCAATTCCATACCCAATTTCGTGTTCAAAATCCAAAAATACCAAATTCTAGGTCGTTTACCAAAAAATCCCACAATTATACTAATTTCCATGTTTAAATCCTTATACAAACCATGTATTTAACTTATAATAACTGGGAATCACTTATCTTGGTATTGATGACGAAGAATGAGCTCTAAACTCTCTCCAATACCGGCTCTCATGGAGAAAATGGGGTGAAAATGAACCAAGCCCTCGTTTTTAAAGAACACACTGCCCAGACCCGACGTTCGCACCTGCGGTGCCTTGGCCGCATCTGCGGTCCTGCACCTACGGAAATCTCATCGCAGGTGCAGCTCCAGCTCGGCCCAACATTCTCGCACATGCGCTGCATGCGGCGCATCTGCGCGTACGCTCCTGCGTTACTCTCTTCGCACCTGCGCCTTCGCAGGTGCGCAAATCTTTCAACTCCTGCGGTTCTCAGCAACCTGCCTCTTCTGCTTCTGCGAGCCATTTTCCTGCACCTGCGGGCTCGTACCTGCGGGCTCGCACCTGCGGCCCTCTTCACGCAGGTGCGGTTACACCAGATGCTCAACTGCTTCAGCCCTTCTTCAAATTCCAAATTCGATCTGTTAACCACCTGGAATCCACCCGGGGGCCTCGGGATCTCAACCAATTATACCAACACATCCCAAAACACATTACGAACTTAGTCGAGCCTTCAAATCACATCAAACAACATCAAATTCATGAGTCGCATCCCATTCCAAGCTTACTGAACTTTAGAAATTTCAACTTCTACATTCGATGCCGAAACCTATCAAATCGCGTCCGATTGACCTAAAATTTTACACACAAGTCATAATTGACATCACGGACCAACTCCAACTTCCGAAATCGGAATCCGACCCCGATATCAAAAAGTCCACTCCCGGTCAAACTTCTCAAAATTATCCAAATTTCAACTTTCGCCAAATAACCCCAAAATGACCTACAGACCTCCAAATCCACTTCCGGATGCGCTCCCAACACCAGAATCACCATACGGAGCAATTCCCAAGCTCGGAATCCCAAACGGACATTGATAACATTGAAATGCACTTCAACCCAAATTTATGGAATTCTTCCAAAATGCTAACTTCTACAATAGGTGCCAAAACGCTCCTGGGGCATCCAAAACCCAATCCGAACATACGTCCAAATCCGAAATTATCATACAAACCTGCTAGAACCTTCAAATCCTGATTCCGAGATCGTTTACTCAAAATCACACTTTAGCCAATTCCTCCAACTTAAGGCTTCCGAATTTTGAATTTTCTTTCCAAATCAACTCCAAACTTCCCGAAATTCAGTTCCGGCCACGCGTATAAGTCATAATACCTAAAGTGAAGCTACTCATGGCCTCAAACCGTCGAGCGACGTGCTATAGCTCAAAATGACCGGTCGAGTCGTTACATTTAGCCTCTGGTCCAAAGCCTTCAACGGTCGACCCTCATGCTCAGGTAACATCGACCATGTTTTCCCCGTTGTTTTCTTTCTGATTTCACTCAATCTTTCTATCATCATCTACCATGCATCACTCATAATTTTTATCCGTTTGAAACCTTAAGGTCCTTAAATGGCACTATAAATAGAGTCTTTAATGTTCTCATCTACAATGACCTAACACTGAATAACGACCTAACACTAAGAAAAAACAACCTAACATCATCTACTACAACCCAGAATCACCAACTAGACGACCATCTAAGAGCAAGTCTGAGATCTCATAAACCTAGGATTTCTTACTGATTCCTGTTCTTTTATTTTTCGACTACTTTCACTAATCCGAGCTTAAAATCTTGGGTCTTAAGAGATAAAGAAGGATCCCTTTTTGGCCTGCTTCCCTTGAAAAGGTCAGTATACCTTCAACTTTTCTCTTCTGTTCATCTAATCTGAATATTATAAATATACTCATTGTCTTTTGTAAACTATACTCGTTTATGATGCTTATAACAAGTATAGAAATGTTACTCTTTGTTCATTATAAGATGTTGTTTGCTTATGATCACTTGTCATGCCTTTTAAATCTTAAATCAATGTTGGTTAAGTTATTATGTGACTCCTGATGACTTTCATTTCTGAGTTCAAACAGTCTGCATGTTTAAGTTGTAAGGTGCCTTGAATGACTGCTCATGTTTACCTGAACTTCATACTTTTTTTCACTGATGATTCTGCTGTGATTTTTACCTCTACAAATTGTTTCCTTGCATTCTGTT